AGAGAGCATTTTAACATTTTGAAAGGTTTTCTTTCTCTGGTAATCGATTACAGCAAGTGGTAATCGATTACCAGAAACATGTCACTTGTTTTGGCTTATGAAAACCTAAGATATAAAGAGCTTCTATTTTCCAGTTAAAAATATTTTTATTTAATCTTTTGAATACTCTTTTTGCTTTCTTTTCAAACAACTTATTCTTATATTCAAAAGTATTAAGTTTAGGTTTTCTTGAAATTCTTATTTTAATGGCCAAGTCAAATTTGCAAATTCTAAAAGTTCATTTTACATACTAAGCTAAGCAGTCAAGACTTATCTAGTTATTACTTGAGATCTTACTTCTTGATCAGCTTGCTTTAACTTGACCTTTATTTTCTTCAATGCTTTGGCATCATCAAAACTTTGTGCATATTTTCTTCCACATGATACTTATTCTATTTTTTTTTCAAATACAACACTTCTTATGAAGAGAATAAACAAAATGGATGTTACTTCTTCAAATCCAAAATATCTATTATTTTAACTTTTCAAGGTGCTATTATTATTTTTCATTTATACCCTTAATAGTAAGGTTCTTATCTATTTATTATTTTGGATAAAAGTTACTTTATTATTTTTACATGAAAATTAATGTCTCTAAAATTATAACATGTTAAAATTGGTCTGTTTTTTAACTTTGCCAATGATCATATCCTACATATAAAAAAGAAATACATGTGGCAAATAAAATGTTATTTTTAATTTCTCTATTTTTTTCCTTCCATTATAATTTTAGAGGAATTGATTTAAAATAAAAAATCCTTGAGAATCAAAAATGAATTTGAAAATCCACTAAACACTTTCACATTCATGTTCATCCCTTGCGGTCAAACTGTATGGAGGTGCACATCAGTGGCATCATCTATTTCACAAGCATTTTATGATATAGCTAAATCGAATTATTAATTATTCCACACCAAACAATTCAAAAGTGTTTCTCGATTAGCCGAAGCGAGTACTACAATCTCTCTTAACAAATCAATTTTCATGCAAGCAATGGATATCAAATTTTATTCAACAATCAACCTGCTGAATCCTCTGTTGGTTCCGGTAATTAGCATACAAGTTAATCAACAAACATGATTAAAATATATGTTACCTATTGTAAACTGTCATTTTAATTTGATGATTAAAAATAAGTTAGAACTTGGAAAAATGTGCAAGAAATAACATGAAGTTTATCTTATGACTCAACAACATGATACATTGGCCTGTTGGCAGACTCAACAAAACACAATATTGAGTCCCCGAAAATTGAGAAAGGTGTGAAGAGAAGAAATGAAAGAATTGAAGCCTACTAATGCACAAGAAGTGGGATTATAAAAATAAATAAATATATATATATAGGTAGGCAATAGGCAATAGGCAATAGGCAATAGGCATACACAGTGAGTATAATTGTTAGGCACACAGCATTCTTGAATTAAAGCATGCAAATAATAAAATCATGATACACCCTTGGAGCCAGGAAGTTTAATCCACTGCAATTGGATCTCCACTTCACCGCATTCCACATTTCGCAATCTGAGGACAACATCTTGGACAACTTTGTCATTTTCATAAGTGATGCAACTTTCCTCTGCCAGGCAGTTTGTCCTGCATGGTTTTATTCTTGTGATTATAGTTCCACTCGGGAGGTCTTCTAGGTTCATCTTTATGGCCTCTATATACGGTGAGATGTCAAATTCTGCATCCCCCATTTTGTCATCCTTGCTGAATGTGTCATGGTCATACACAGTCTGCAATTAACCAATCACCACTTCATTAATTTCATCAACAAAAACATTGGATTAGAGGGTTTTAATTAAACAAAATCAATGCATTAACTAACCAGTATAAATGAACGAATGGGATCTGTAACAGAGAGTGTGAGCTCTTCATTCCACTCAGGATTAACATCCTTTTTAATCACACGAGTCTTGAGCTTCTGAAGAAACAACGATTCAACATAATTCAAAAGATGCCATGCAAATGTTGCATTTTTTGTTTGTTTGTATTTCACAACTTTAAAAGGTTACCTGCTTGCCCATCTTAACGACCACGTATGGATCGCTAGTGCTGACATCACGAACGGCGAGGTTGACCCCGCGCTTGATGTGAATCCTTAAAAGGCCGAGTAAATCTTCCATGACTTTGACTTCAATCCTTAAAAGGTTGTCTACCTCCCCCTCCCTTTAATATGCCACAATCAAATTTAGGTTGTTATTTATTTTGTGTCATTAATGGAAAAAAAAAATTAAAAAAATTTGAGAATGATTAGGTTAACGAGCCCCCACCAGAATTGGGTTATTTCAGATGATTGTATATATATAATTAATTAGTTGGAAGTTGGTTGTTAGAATCTAATGCAAGAAGAGGAAGAGAGAGTGTGTGTGTGATGGGATATGAGAGATAGAAAGGTTGGTTTTGTTTTGTAGAAGATAGGTGAGGGTATTCACAATGGCATGCCACCGTCAACGTGTACGATCCTCCCTTCTACTCTGCCCATAACACTCTTCACCCTCCAATTTTGTGGCCACAATGGTCCCAACCTTTCTACTTTTCACAACAACATTTTTCTCCTTTCTAATTCATTTATTTTTACGACACCATGCTTAGATATGATGGTTAAACTTATTTGACACGGGCGAGATACTTCTAACAATAATTGTTCTTTAAATAGCAACTCCCAACAATAAGACAGCAATTAGAATGTGCAAAAAATTTAAATTGATCCGAATCGATCTATAATCGATCCGATCCGTTTTAAAAAATTCGATCTTGAAAAAAAATCTGAACCGAACCACTTTGTAAAACCGGTTCAGTTATCTAATCCATTTTTACAAAGTGGATCGGTTTGATTTTTTAAAAAAACCGATCCATATGTAAGTAAAAAGTGGATAACCGCACCGCACCGAGTCGATTCATTTTTAAAAAAGCCAATCCATATTTTAAAAAAATCAAACCGATCCACTTTATAAAAAATAGATTAGTTAACCGAGCCACTTTTATAAAACAGTTCGGTCGGTTCGGTTCGGATTTTTCAAAAAACCGATCCATGAACACCCCTAACAGCAATATCAGATAGTAATGGTTGAGTTTAAGAAACTTTATAGAATTATTATATTAAATAAAAACTGTAATATTGGGGGAAAATGTAAAAATTATATATATAAAAAATAAATTTTAATACCGTTTTTAGCGGAATGAAATTTATAATAACTTTTTCAAATAATGAATTTCATCAGTATAAGTTTTAATAAAGTATATTATTTCTACAAAAATTCATATAATTTAAAAAACTTAATTAATAATTTATTGCACCATTTATAATGTAATTAAGCCTAAGTAAATTTTTATTTTTATATTACATATTTACAAATTTAAAAATTATATATAATTTGGTTTATACGATCATTAATTATATTTGAGTAGCAATAGTTACAACATTAACATCAAACCTTGGGTTAGTGAGGCCAGCGTTGAGAGTTGGGCCTAGCCCATGAGAAGCCGAACCGAACCCAAGAAAACAAAAAGGTAAGTAAGGAGTTCCCGCGCGAGCGAGTAGTGTTGGAAGATTTGTGTGTAATGAAGTAAGAGATGGAGTCGGAACCGTGGGAAGCACTCGACGTCGACGACTCCGATCTCTCCGCCTTCCTCCGCCCGTGCAAGTCCAGTTCCTCCACCGTCATTCCCGGTCCCGCCGGCGCCGTCCAGGCCGTAATGAGGAACCGGCGCCGCGACGAGCCCCTCCCGACTCAAGAATTCCTGAGGCGTATTGACAGCGAAAGTGACCGCGATTTCAGCACCAATCCCTGGCTCTGTGCCCTCCAATACGTTCGCTCGCAGGGTAAGTGACGTTCCCCACACTTATCGCTGAATTTCCCTCTCGTGCCCTAATAACTTGTTATTATTATTGTTGTAGGCTTGGTGGGCGGTGATGACGTGGCGCACGGCACGCCGTTGAGCTCAATCAACAACACTGAGAGAGTGCCTCTGGTCGTGGTCCTTGTTAAATCCTGCACCCCCAATGGTTTCGGAGACATGACGATTACCGTCAAGGTAGTATAATGTTACTTTGCATTTATTGAATAAGCTTTTCCATGACCGCTTCTTCAATAGAAATGTAGAAAGTCAAAGTCTGTTTGGACACATGTTAGAAGCGCTTTTCATAGTTTTTCTACCGGAAATAAAGATAATTTTTTAGAAGAAAAGGTCGTTTCTAAGTTTGTATCCAAACATGCTCTAAAAACAAAATAAACTTCTCCATTAGATAAAATTAGTTTATGTATGAGTTAAAAATAAAATTTTTGAAACATTAATACGAGAGGGTTTCATAAAATAACCCATGCATAAGCTTATTTTAGGTTATGGATAAGTTTATTTCATTTTTCCTACCTATTTTGTTCACTTAGAAGTGTTTCTGGATAAATTTAACCAAACAAGCCCTTAGTGTTGTTTGGATAAGTTTCTTCAAAACTTTGAAGTACTTTGAGAAAAAAAATAGGAAGAAAAATTTAAATAAATTAAAACTAACTTATTCAAGTTAAAATAACTTTTTTATGTGTGCCTTCATATATACGGGTGTTTGCATTTCAGGATCCTACAGGCACTGTTGGTGCCAGTGTCCATCGCAAAGTCTTGGCACATGCAGAATTTGGGAAGGATGTAACTGTTGGTTCGGTTTTAGTTCTGCAAAAGGTCTTTCTCTTAATCTGCTGTTTGTTTGTGTTGTGCGACACACCTGACCACGTTTTGCTTGCTTCACTTGGAATATATCCTTTACTACAGGTTGCTGTGTTTTCCCCCAATCGCTCTACCTCTTTTCTCAATATAACGTTAAACAACGTTGTCAAGGTATGTATGTATGTATGGCATCGGATCATCTCTCTTTTGCATTTCAGGTTAGCCCAATTTTTCTGATTAGAAATAGAAAATTCTAGATGAGTAAGGTCCATTTATTTATATATAAAGGTTAAGTTCTGTGCACTGTAAATATATATATTTTTTTTATACTTTTATCCAATTGGAAACCATTACAGGAATATTTTTTAAGGTAGTCAATAGTATTGTAGAAACAATCCAGCCATATGTTGATTCTGCGTCCATTTTTACAGTACAGGCACACTTTTGTTTTAACTCAATCTTTTCCCTGTACCCTCTCTCTTTCTCTTTTTTGAATTTTACATTTTTGTTTTCATGAAAATTAAATTGCTTCTACTGGCTGTGCAAAGCACCGGTTGATTGTTCTGGTTATTGTAAAAAAGTCAATAATGTAATGTCAATTTCTAATTGAATCAGTGTCACCATATATGTTTGTTTTTGAGAGATATTTGTTTGTGTGCCCATTTCTTGTTAATATGGTGCACAGGTCTTTGCCAAGGACAGTGGCCCTCCGTCAGATCAACTAATGTATCCTGCACTCACAACGATACGCACTACACCTAATATAGGTATGTGCACATATATGATTAAGTTCTATTATTAGGTGTTCTCGGGGTCTACTTTTATGCCTAAACGACAATATTGATTTCTTGAAAATTCATATTTGACATTCATTGCAACAGAAATACATGAGACGCCAGGCAGTAGTACATTCTCTATGCCACAGGGAAGGACTGAAGGAATCATGTCTAGTCTCAGATTAAGCTCAAGCTTTAAACAAGTGTTGGGTAGTCACAATGATAATGGAAGCGATCAGAACCGAGAAACTGTTTTGGAAGGAGAGAATTTAATAGCGAGTCTGGATAATGTTGGACCTGGGGAAGTTAACTGTGGTGGTGAGCTTGAAACTGAAATGGAAGATCAACCCAACCCTCCTAAATTGGATGAAGGAGATAGTCTAGCTTGGATTGCTCAAAGCAATAGATCTACAAACTCGGTTCACACATCTCAAGGTGAAAAAACTGGGATGGAAAATCAGTTAGAAAGACAGAAGCACATGGCAAATCCAAGAAGTTCAATACCGAGTTGGACAGAGGAACAGCTGGATGAGCTTTTAGCGTTTGATTGAGATAACAATTTCTTTTAGTCAAAGCAAAGTATACAGGACAAGATGATGCCGATGTGTACCTAGTTTTCATGTATCTTAGTGGTGTAATTTTTAGCATTTTGAAGCTACACGGGTTTAGTAAATATTTTAGATATAATCATAGATCCTTTCAGATAGATGCTCAGGCAGGATTGGGTTGCTAGCTTTGTTCAACAGAGGGCCTTGGGAATGCACCCAGTTATGGTTCCAGAAACTGATGGGGCCCCATCACCAATCATCCATCTCAAATTCTTCAAAACATCTTCCCAAGATTTACAAATACCCCTCCAGAGATTTGAACATGGCCTATTAGGATTAATGTGAGGGAGAATACCGTTCCCACAATTGTATTCGGATTTAATCATTTGGACCCATAGAGCTTCATTGTTTGAACATACGCGGGGCTTAAGAGCGTAGACCCAAACCCTCATGGAATGACATACGCGGGGCTTAAGATTATGATTCCAGTCCCCCGTAGACGCCCAACTCTCATTGACAAACATGGAGAAATCTGAATGGGTTATACAAGAAGCTAGAAAAAGAAAATGCCTTCTTTGCGTGGATGATGTGTGTTGGATATTGAAATTCAACAACAGCTTCTTGAAAGCATATCCTCCATTCCCAATATACATATCCCTACTAGAGGCTGACCGACTCAACCAATTGCAAAGTTAGAATATAGAAGTCAGAATCCACCTAAATAATTCATAATGTGATTATAGTCTAAACATATTCCCACCATTCATGGTAGAAGTAAGCGCTGTTTGAACTCACAATATCGTATCACTAAATTTTCCAATAGGTATGTACTAACAACCTTTCAAACCTAGGGTCATATCACATGCGTCATGTCTTCCAATTTTGATTCTTTCCTATAATATTCTCTCTCCAGCTTCTTTCTTGCAACATTAATAATCATTAAATATATTTAATAGCTCAAATTTAATCTTATAATTAATATAATTTTTTAAATGATTAAATTTGAGTCATTAGATATATCCAATGATTATTATTGTTACAGGAGAGAGGCTGGATAGAGAATATTACATGAGAGGATCTAAATTTCATGTCTTCACATCAAGGGGATAAAGTAATCCCGATTTTAGATAGATTGAACCATATTAATGGGAGTATAACAATTTGTCTAAAACCAAAAAGGATAAAGTTTTGTTGAAGTCAGTAACATAAGATTATTCTTGGGATAATTTGATTTGATTCCGAAAATGAATATGAATTGAACTCGTTAAAATTATAAAGTTTATATTGCTTTGGAAATCATCTTCAAGTTTAAAATTCATTCAAAATTAAATTGATTTAATTTAATTTTACATTTTTTTTCTCTATATAACTAATAGCTGATGGTTTATTATTATTATTTTTTATCATATATTAGTAATATTTTAGTACAATTTCTATCCTTTAGCTATTTGTATTATCTAATTTAAACGATCTTTTAGTTCACATGATTTGTTTATATATTCCTTCGAATTCTCAATAATGACGTTCCATGCAATGCCCAAAACCTAATATACAATTTTATGGGTACAAATGATCACTAAAAGGCAAAAATAATGTATAGCTTATTTATGGGGAAAAAAGAAGCAAAATATAGATGATTACAATTCAGAAGTAGAAATACAAGTAAACGAATAAAGATGAATTATTTTAATTATTATATTTTAAATGTTTCAAAATATTTTTACATTATACTATTTATTTTAGTTATTAGGGTGTTCAAATCCAATTTGATTAAAAGAAAAACAACAAACCGACATTTAGGATAATTTTTTATATAACGGATCAGATCAGATGGAATTTTAGATTGTGTTCATAATCTAAACAATCATTTTTTTTATACATTTTATGTTGCATTTCACGCGTAGGTTGTATGTGCTTCATGTCATAGTAAATTTAGTCGATTTGTGTTTCGTAACTCGTAAGTTTTCACATTTAGTATTTTTGTCCTGGAACCCCCATCAATCCACTAAATAAGTATAAAACTATTCTCGACACGTGTTGATTAAGCTCTAAAGTGAAGACATCCAGTATTGGGAAATTGAACATTTAGAATTAAAAGTTGCTTTGATCTATAGATTTGCAAAATCAATTCGCAAAAACCCTTACTTTTATTCAGATATATCTATTCATGTATTTTACTCAAATTACAAAATGTAAAGCCTACTGCATCCATTCTTATTTCTTATTCAAAAGACTATTTTATCATCGGTCTCTTCTTATAAGACACTTGTTATTTGACTTATTTCTTATACAAAAGACTAGCCTCTTAAAGTCGGTAGTAAATAACAACTTAGACATACTTGAAGTGGGAAAAGAATAAAAGGCCTGTTAGCTGAAATCATAAACACTGCACCAACAAATGAAGTACTTCATCGGATAACAGATTATAAAAAAGTCTACTTAAAAGAAAAATACCTAGCTATGGTCATAAGCACCGCCTCACTTGACTCACTGACATTACAATCCGAATATATTTACCTCGTGCAAAATTGGGACTCATTCTGGCAATAGCACGTAACTAAGGTCACAGAAGCAGAAGAAAAAGAAGTACAATTACTACATGCTTTTAATGTCTAAAAATTGCCATGCCTCGAAGGACAAAAGAATCATTATCATTTTCAAGAAATCAAATGTCAAATTACTCTTGTATACTTATTGTAACTAGGAACTAACTCATTAATCGTCTCGGTGCGTATAGGTCACCACCAACGAATACCATTTTCAGCCATCATATCTCGTGCCACAATTATGTATGTACCTACTGGAATAGCTTCCTCAACCTTTCAACAGCTGCAGCTGCCCTTTTGTTGGTTGGCTCAAGCACAAGGGCATGTTTAAAATCTGCAAACCAAAACCTTTGTTAGCAGACACTACGTAAAATTTAGAAAAACGTTAATAATAAAAAGACGAACCCTGTTAATATGTACTTGTCTAATTTGAAAGTAACCCCAAATTTCATCACAAATAATTTTAAGCTATATACACCGGCAAAAGTCCAGAATAAGGAGTGGTCCAGACATTTTATAGGTCCTAGATGAAATGATAAATGCGGAATCTTACATCTTATTAGTACGAAGTATTAATCGACTTCTATGATGACTAAATCGACTTCTATGATGACTAATTTCTGACGAAGAACTTAATTGGTTATCGTGATACCCGCTTATGAAAATTAAGTCTAATATCACTTAAATTAACGACTTGGAGGTATAAGCCCTTACATATAAACAATTATAACATAAAAATAGATATGTGATTTAATTAAAAATGACAAATGACATGTTTTATTACATTAAACAAAAAATGTTAACAAATATAAAAAAAAATGTACTATATTCTTCATTAAGTTTACTTCTATATTATTGTTTATTATAAAGTGCTATTAAATAAAGGACCAAAAATAGTGCATCTCTAAATTAAAAGGACCAAAATATGTCAAATTTTGAACTACTAAAACCAAACTTGAAAATTTTGGAGACCAGAAACATATTTTACCCTTTTATATGAATATAATACATTATAAAGCTAATAATAAAAATAACAAAACGTCATAACCATATCACAATTTTATATTTATATATAAAAACAAATGAGATAATTTTTTTAAAATAACATACAGAATTATCTCACAATTTTTATTATTTTAAAAAAAAATTGTGTCTCTCTTATGCCTAAGGTGGCCCACCTCTAAATGAGACCCAGGACGGGCCCTGAGTCCAGTCTTCATAAAAATATAGTATTTGAATTTCTATATCAAATTAAAAGGGAAAAAAGTATTGAAAGCACAATTAATGCACATTCTAGCAAATATGGGCATTGGGGACAAATTTAATTCCTAATCCACCCAGTGTGTGTCTTGGTTTTCGAAAAAATATTTTAAAAAGAATTTTCAAAAACTAATTTTAAGAAAGTGAGTGGAGATAGAAGAGACAATGCAAAGAAAATAGTTTTTATTTTAAAAACTGAAAAAAAAAAAAAGTTTTGAAAGCAGTTTTAAAAAACTACACTGAACAAAATAGTTTCATTAATGAATTGACAAGATGCACACAAATGCCAGAAAGAATTAAAAGATCTTACCATCAATTGCTTCCTTGTAGTAGCCTAGCATCTCTCTAGCTGTACCCCTACGAAAATAGGCTTTCACATTCTGGGGAAACAGATAACAAAGCAATGTTACTGCAAAATGCTCATGACTATCTCATTCAAGGAACATCATATAGTCTACAGATTAAGCAATAGTATGAAATATCTTTTTCCTGCTTCATCCCATAAGACCCTCTTTCTCTTTCTCACCTTATTTTATTATTCTCACAAGAGCCAAGTAGAGAAGGTTTAAAAATCCAAGGATGTAAACTGATGCACCCAATTAAACACCTCAAAGTTTTTCTAATTATACATAACAGCTTTATTTTCAATTAAAAAGTCTTGATTTTCAACACCCACGTATATTTGGAATGAAGACAAGCTTTCGTCATTCTATGATGGCAAAATCTATATACTTCTAAGGAAAAAGCTTTTCGAAGAAAGAAATCACCTGTTTGTCAAGACCAATTGCTTTTGTACAATCTGTCTCAGCTTGAAGGAAACTGGATCAACAGAGAACAAATCAAGATGTTTGCCAGACACTTTTGATAAGTCAAGTAGCAAGAATGAAATACTACCTTCCAAGTTCTAGATATGCTTGAGCCCTGTTACTGTAGTATGTTGCATTATCACCGCAGAGTTTGATAGCTTCTGTATAGAATCCAATGGCTTTCTGCCATTGCTTTTCTTTATAGGCTTGATTTCCCTGAATCATTAGGTGACAAACCAATAGATAAAGTAGGGTTGAGGAGAAAAGCACTTGCGAAACTGAGAATTGAACAACCAAATTTACAATATGCAGTTTAATAAAAGAATAAACCATCAATTTCATCATTGAAGCATTATCCTCTCTCCTAAATGATCTCTCAAATGTCAATAAACTATATAAGTAACACACCCATATTAAAAATCATGCCAAGTAGTCCCAAAAATACTTAAAAAATCATTCAAATTGGTCCCTGAACTTTACTTAAATATATCAACTTAAAGACTAAACTGATTGATATTCAATATTCAATACTTGAGGGATTATTTATATAGTTTTATTACTTTAGGGACAACTGGATGATACTTGAGTGAAAAAATGGAAGATTATTCATTAAAAAAAATCCAGGGAACTAAAAAAAATGCAAAACGGGCACAAAATATACAAGTTTTATGATGACTGCAGCTTCACCAGTAACAGAACAACTTCAATACAATTACACCTCCATTAGAATAGATGGACAAAGGACAATATTGGGGACTGTCTATCAAAGCAAAATTATAATGTCCCAAAAAAGGTCAAATGTATATTTGACAATGATGAACAGACAAAAGTTGACATTCACTTTACACAATTCTCGCATACGGTATCCTCGTGAAGAAACTATTATATTATCCCAGATACAAGGATTTGTCCAACATGTAAAAACTAAAAGAACCAATATTACAATTCATTAGTTACTTGCAATGTTACCATCCCCATGCATGAGATGTGAAGGACAAGATAATATAAGCTTGTAATGCATATACCAAATGAGAGTTGTAAAAATCTATCCATATATATGAATCAATATTAGAATGAAATACACACTGAGCACAAAGAAAGGAAAAACAAACTTGACACCTAAATCCAAAATGTATGTTGAGAAGTTTAAATACTACAAATAAAAAATAATTTGTCATTTATAACAATTTTCAGTTTTCAAAATCAATGGTGTTTTAGAAGTAAAACCAAGCTTGTTAGATTGCACAATTACAATCTAAAGCAGGTTAAGTGCATAATTTATTTAAAGTC